CGTCTTCAAGTAACTTAAAGAAGTCCAGACGCTTTTCTTTGCAAGCTCCTTTGACTACGATGACCTGGATGACTGAGAACCTTCACAGACAAAAAGTAAGCTATTACTCACTGATGCTGTTTTAGAGCAGTATCTTTTATTTTCCGATCTTTAAATTAAATGTTGCAAAGCTAATATAACATAACAAATAATAATAATAATAAAGTCTAAATACAGCTAATAACAACAAAACATGCTGAAATGTAAGCATAGAACCAGAGTTATGTTTGATAACTACTACTTCGTGAGGTTAAAGTTTTCTCTTGAACACTTAACTTTTGTTGGTATGTGCTGACAAACCCAGAAACATGAAAATTCATTCATTCTTCTTGGGATGCTTTATGAGTAAAGAGTTTGTTTTTGGTTCATTTGACAAATTATCATAGATGAAGGACTAAAGGGGATGACATGCATCCAAAATCAAACTGTGGAATAATACCACTGGTTTAATACAAAGACCTACTTAGAGTTCCCAAAAAGTCTAGAACTTATGTTATTATATTGTCAATATCCCTGCTAAATTAGTTGCTAACAGGTTTGTTCTGCTGTGTCAGATTGAATTTAGTTCACAGCCTACATAGCTCTGCACTAAAGTGTGATATTCAGTCATCTCTGAATCTTAGAATCTCCGGTCTGATTTAAAACCGCTCAACCTTTTAAAAACCCAAACCCCGTCACAGTTCTTGCATATGGTGTTGCTCAGAGTTCATTTCTAGGCCCAGAGTTGATTCAGAGGGATCATTGAAGGATCACCTTTTTTCACTGCTTCACAGATGACTGTTCATAAATGCGCTAATTTAAATAAATCTTTTAGTGTTGATCATCCTAGGTCAAAAAGAAATTAACAGCGTACATAATCAAACGAAGGAAAAACCAACTGATGCTTAAACATTAGTAGTTAAAATTTATTTTTGGCTGTTAAAATATCTTAAGTTTTACAACTAAATTTGAGAACGACACAAATACTATGGTCTAAATGCAGTCTTTTCAATTAGCTGCAAATGTTCAGGGTTTGTGCAATGACGTCAATGCTGGATTTGTCCAGATGAGCTCCATTTTATTACCTCCTGTGATAGAAATGTTGAAATTCCTTTAAAAACGTCATAAAAAAGCTGCAGCTGCTACTTGTACACATCCAGTTTCACTTAAAAGAAGCTTTATTTACATTTAACACAATGTATACATAAATATTGTAGTCCAAAATATATTTAATCATCATTTAAATATCAATTATCAGTCTTGTTTATTTGATTTACAGTTTAAGATATGATTAGATTTAATGAAACTTGAACGTATTTACATATTTTACATAAATAACGTATTTAATTGGGTAAGAGGACATGAAAGCGCACTGTTGCATCACTTTGATACTGTTTCACGCCCACCACTACTTAGATTTCTTTTCAAAACATTCAAAGTAAAGACATCCGCACCTTTAACAACTGGCATTCTTCAAATTCTGAGACAAGAACATGACCGTTTTCAAGAGCTTATTGAAAACGATCTCATGGAAAAAGTGAGCGTCAGAAGTCATTCCTGAGGAACAGATGGAGAGAGGAAAGGAAGGCTTCTTGACGTGGAATAAGAGGTTTCACTTGGCACACGTGGAAAATCTGAGGCACTGGAAAGCTGCGTTAGTAGCTTGGGTAAACTGAACTTGAGAACAAACGCTAAAACAATTGGCCTTGACTTTCAACTGCATTGTGTGACAGAGTAATCAGTGAATGACAGGATTGCTGTATATATACACTGCAGCTGATGAGTACTCGAATGGGGACAGGTGTGCAGTTCAGAGCCTAAAACGAGCTGAAGGAGCCACGCCCACAGACAGACGGGAAGGGGAAACGGAGACTGAAAGGCAACACCGTCAGACAAGTGGTCTTACACTCTAAAAAACTGATCATGTCTTCAGACTGTTTACTCACCAGATTTTTATGTTTTTATTATTAAGAACTTCATTCTACTTCAAACCATATTTAACCTTAAAATTCTGACTTTTCTTGTCAAATATTCTTCTCTTTTTTTTACCAAATAAGCAAGCTATAGCCAGAGTCTAGGGAACTTTACTGAACCCCGCTTTTCATTTCTTATGGGGTGTCCTGTGTGAGGTGCTACGGGAGTATGGGGTGTCTGGCCCATTGCTACGGGCCATTCGATCCCTATACAACCGTTGCA